ATTTTGAATAAAATTCATGTATGGAAATGATTAAAAAAACAAAATTATATAAAAAAATAGTATTTTTTCAATAGTGTCCCACGCTTCTCACGAACAATTTATTTACTCACGAAAAAGACAGTTTCATATCTCTTTGCAAAATATACCATTACCATTATTGCGTGAATAGAAAAAATCACCACAAAAAAATTTATTATACCTATATTTATTATACCTATTATCTCTAGTGAGATAATATAACTGTTTCAATTTTGGCTATCAATAAATTCATATTTTTACATTACATTATTTTAAATATATTCCTATAAATCCATAATGGTTAAATCAGGACATCGAGGTGACCAAAGGTCTATGTTATTGTCAATAGTATGATGTAACCAACCAGGGGTGCTGGCTAGAACGATCTTGTGTTCAAAAAAAAAAATTATTCCCTTTCACCTAATACCATATTTGTTAAATATTTACTTTCAACATGATGTTGATCTGTCCAATGAATTTGGTCACGCTAAAGTCTAGATCTAGATGGTCTATCATGGATATTTTGATATTTGGGTATATGGAAGGCTAAAATAATTTGGAATTAATGAAAAACAAGATTGAAACAGTATATACTGGCAATATTGCACTAGACCGCATACAAAATTGTTACAGATGACGGTAGGATGATGTTCGAAAAATTTTTTAATATTATTTCAATTTTTAATAATGATTGTGAATGTCAAACTTGAAATGTGTTCCTATTATTTAATTGCCCATGATATTCTAATTAATGTTTTGGGTAAAAATAAAATTACCTGAATCTTTCACATTTTCTGAATATCTTGTACATCAAAATTTAAAGTTGATCGAATATGCGATTTTTTTGATAAAAAAATGTTTCTTCTCAAAAAAAAAGAAAAAATACATTTCTCTCCTAACTGCTTTACATTGTATGTAGTTTATAAAACATTAATTAAATTTCAGAATTCGTCAATACGATTCTGGAAAGCCTGAATTATATTTGAGAATGCATACATTGATTTTCGGAAAGCTTTAAATTATTCGAGGGAGTTTTCAATTATCTGATTGTCAATCAACTATAGGTATTGCATGAAGCAATATTTATTTATTTACTATCTCAAACAAATCAACTACTGTTTACACGAGATGCCTAATTAGTCACAATATAATCATATTAAATAGGTACGTATTTAACAATATAATGAAGTGTACAAAACAAATACTACAACCATGAAAGGTACAAAATAAAAACAGAAAATACTTCCCTGTATAAATCCGAGAGAATGCTCACATATTCTGGGACATCCTGAACCTATAACTTTCTCGATAGATTTATTTTTAACTTTATGAGCGATTAGATAAATGTTATTAAAGAGCAGTAGATTATCATGAACCAGGTTAATTATTTTGTGATTTTATATAAGGCGCCCTAAAAAATATAGCTTTTTTTAATAATGCAGGTCAAATGCTCACATGTACAAACAAATTTAACAACAGATTTTTTAATGAATGAAAATAATTATGGATATGTAAAATTAATGAAAGACCCAAAAACAGCATTTTGGCTAAAATATATTCTAGTTTCTAAGAAAATGACAGGGATTGTTACGTGACAAACCTTGTACATTTTTAGGAGTAATTCATTATGGTTCCGAGCCATTTCGAAACTGTTAAACATCAAACCACATCATCATCGAACATCAAATGTTATAACAGAGATGCCATTCATATTATTAATGAATTCATTTACCCAGTAACTCGAAGCTTTACTGAACACTTTAACGAACCTACAATTTCATGGGAGGCAAAGCCAATCAATGTAGTGCGCTGGGAATTTAGAGATGTTACATAACTACGTCCACTCCTTACCAACCAGCGCATTGTTGATTAGCAAATTATTATACCATTTAAATTCAGTATGATGCCAGTCCTAATGGGCACAATCGCAAATTGTAGGTGTGTAAAGACTTTCGGCGAACAAATGATTCAATTTTATCAACACGATACGGTTCCAACTATTTGATTTATATGAGAACTTGTACATTTTTCAAAACTGTAGTGATTTTTGTTAAACATTTACTTCAGGAGATACAAATGTGGAGTTGTTTTTAAAATTGCTGAAATATGAAATTAGTATTCGAAGTATTTTAACTAAAATTACTATATATACAGAATTCGATAAAATAAAAATAATAAAATGCCCGAAAAGGTTGATCTCCCCAATGTAGTCTTCCTGCATATTTGTATCTTTGCTTGACCTGAGAAAAGGTGCAATTTTGGTTATTTTTGATAAATATGTTTAATTAAATTAAATTATGTTTTAGTTAACGGTTCATTGAAGAAGAAAAAACTGAATTCATACAAGTTTTATTAAAATTACTTTCATAATTAATTTTAATGTGATATTTATGTTTTTCAAAGTGGATACTTAAATTTTAAACGACCAACTGACTAAATTTAATATAAATAGTGTAGCTAATAGCTAGATATATAAAAGTTGCAGATGCATAATTGATTTAAGAGAATCCGTTAGTAACGGTTATATTTGCATTGTCTCTCCTACATACTTTACACCTTCATAACGAATGATATTTTGAGTAAATAGGTTGAGATCATTAAAATTTATAATAATTATTGTTATATTTACATGCATTTCTATTTTGTGAATAACCATAAATGCCAAGTGGAAACCGTGTTACAATCTTTATGAAGATCTACCCACTCTATTACCTACAAACACACTAGTCATAATATTAAACATAATTGTAACAAAACTGAAATTGTATCTAGCTTCAGGTATGTGGCAAATTTTGGGAATAATTCGTTCATATAGTATCTTCCTATACATTCGAAGGAAAAATATTTAATGAATCAGACAATGTTATTTTTATAAAATTATTGTTTACAAGAAAATAGTCAACTCATTAAATTGGACATGATATAATTTCATGACAAGCTTATAGGACTTTCAGTGCAATAATTGATTTTTTTTATTTCTCTCTATGCTACATAATTACTACGCAAAACCTAGCCTGCGGCGCTAATTTTGTTCCATAAATATATTTTAAATACCAACAGTATAGAAAAAATATTAATACACATATGTGAACTTCGTGTGTATTTTTTGCAAACAAATTATGGTCAGAAATTCTTGTTTTATTGTTTTCCTTTTTGCAATTAATCACATCTCGATGAGACATTATATTTTTACCAAATTCAAATAAGTCACCCTGTACATCTAATCCGTTGAGTATTATCCTGAACTGGTATAGGACTACAGTATTGTACCAGTGACTGAAGACCGCACCAATATTGGTGAAATTTTCGACCTGTTTTCTTCAGTAACAACTTTTTATAATGACGGTACTAAAGAATACAATTTTCTTAATTTTCCGCACCCTTATGCAACTGTCAAGTTAAATTTTGGAGGGCTGGAAAATTTTGGATTAATAAGGACAGGAAAGTCTTTCGAATTTCTCTAAAACATCTTTCGAATTCTTCATTAAATGTTGCAGAATATTGTGTTTTTGGGATTCGAAACATTATTTGGTGAAACATATTTTAATTGTTGGTATCATTGCTACATCTACGTCTATAGTTCAAAACCCAAAGTTGAATATATTAATGAAAATTAATAAATTCGAAACCGTTATTAGTCTGGTGGGTTTGGCTGACATAGGATCCTAGCTACCTAGTAGATATTGTAGGTATAATTTATTGCTGGTCGGGGCATTAGTCCGTAGAGTAGTTGTTATTTGCAATATCTTCAGTTTAAATGATTGATTATCTAGAAAATAGCAATGCCAATATGAATATGATTATTTGGCATTTGCTAAATTTGGCTAATAGTAACTTTGAATTACTAAAAATGATCCTATCTTATACACAGCCGTGGATCAAAAAAAGGATTCTGACCTACATTCCTTAAAATGGTTAAAAGAATAAAACTAATACAATTGTTTAATTTATCATATACTCTATATAAGTAAAGCTTCCGAGCTAATGAATCTTAAACTATTAGTAAAGAAATTACATAAATACAGTCTAAAAGAAAAAAATATTGTCTTACCTAACTAACAGAATTCAAATAGTTGAGGTAAATGGTGTTAAATCCGATAAATTAATTAATTAATTTAGCACCACAAGAATCTGCACTAGGACTGTTGTTATTTCTTTTATATAAATTTGCCTGGCTTTTTGAGAAATACTTGATCATTTTACGAACCAAATTCAAATGATTTGACCAATTTTTACTTTCCCTTTAAGTTAATTTTTAGAAAATTGTAAATAATTTGGTTCATACACTAGTTGTCAAGTTGCATTAGTTTAATTTAAGTATTAAAAGTTGTATAAAAACGAAATGCACTGAAGTATATGCAAAGATCTCGATAACCAAGGGAGATATCGAAAACTAACGGGAGTAACTTTTTTATGAAACAAAAACGTTCTTTCATATTTCCAATACACAATGTCCGTAATTCTAAAGGCAAAAAAAAATTTCCCCTGTTTATCAAAGCAATAGGACATAACCGAAGCCGTATACAAAATTAGTTAAAAATTCTTATTTGTCGTGTCAAAAAACATAAGTGCCATTTTTTTTGTTCATACTCTGCTAGTTTTCTAAATTATTGAGAAATTTCAAAATAAAATTCAAACATTGAACGCCCTGTATCTTTAAAACCAGCTACATTTGCATAAGGCATATTCGGTTCAATTATTTTGGCCACAAGTATCTACAGCTTCGAGATTTCTCAGTTTTTCGCATACACCCGGTATATTTAGCCCCTTTTGATATTTTTTTCAATTGAATTTTTTATTTATTCCACTTGTTGGTCAACGTTTGCTACAATGTATTTATTGTTAGTGTCCTTTACTATTATTGTTATAGCCTTCGTGATAATAAATTATTATTTTGCAAATAAAAATATTCTGGAAGTTACCAATTGCGTTGTCGAAATAAATTATGATTACAAATCTAAAAAAAAAAAAATAAAACTCACCATATCAGGGTCATTCCAGTGTCCCGGTCCCGCATTGGGAACGATGACATCTTGGTTGTTCCCGTAATAATCTACTATACTCTCCACACTGGCCCAGGAGTCCTGGATATCATCGAAATTCCTCCACATGTTGCAGTGCTGGATTATCGAGGAAAAGTTAGGCTGCATACCGGCGTAAATCTGATACACGGGCCAACTACACGAATAGATCATCGGCCTACCCGTTCGATTCAGGTGGTAACCGAATTCGGGGTACCCCCTGTCCATTTCCGCGGGGTGCGCGTAACAGCCGTCTAGTTTCACGTAGTCCACGTCCCAGGACGCGAAGGTATCAGCGTCTCTCTGAAGAAATCCCAGGACGCCCGGGTAACCCGCGCACGTGTAATTGCCGTAGTCCTCGTAGATTCCGAATTTCAGACCCTTGGAGTGGACCTGAAAGGAATAATTGTTGTTATACGTGTGAAAATCAGTACCTAACAGAAATTGGCACACCTAGGGTCCATGAAATTTAAAAATTACAATTGTTTTTTAAAAAAATCAATCTTAAGTATTTATTTTTTAGCACATAACAAGTAGAAGTTTAATGATTGCCACCATAAATTGTTAAAAAGATTAAAAAAAAAATTAAAACGTTTCAATGATTAATTTCGACAACATTGCGAGATTCTTTGTTCTTTTTTGTTGCCTCTCTGTAGAATATTGGCTAAAATCTTCTCCCTTTCACCCTACTTCCAGTATTAGTTGGAATCACGTGTCCTGTTTCTATCCAGAGCTTCATTGTTATTGTTCAAGTCGCCTTGCGCTTCTTTAATCTAGTACTGATGTGTTTCGTTTGTCTAATATGTACTTATCCACATGTACAAAGGATGCTGTGTATACAGACCTTAGAGTAGATCATTCTAGTAGCTCATCTTGGGAAAGGCTGTTCCGATCATAAGGTGCTGTAGATGACATTAAGATATGGCTTATATTGTCAGTATATCTTTGTTCTGTATATAGGACAGATAGGTCGTTGCCACATATTTCTCCTTTTCCGTGTCTTTAAGTATCCTGATATTTCGTTCATTATTTCTCTTGGTGTATATGTCGTCCTCTAAGAGCTCCTTGTCCACTTGGCACTGTCACTGTCTCACAGATGGCACGTGCTCGATGTACTAAATGTGTTCAGAATACCTTGTTTTTGGTTCGCGTGATGATGAGACTCAGCATTCAAAGTTCCTTCAATCTGCATGGTGAAGAATGTCTGGATGTATTCCATGTACGGACATTTACACAACACTTGATGTATGTGTATATATTTGCTAGAGCTGGGGTCGTCAATATTTTATAACAGCATAGCAATACAACTCTTTACGAAGAAAATAAACTGAAAATCATTACTGTATTGCCATCCACTGAGAATATCTAGCCAATTTCCGAAATCAATATATCGAAAAATAATTAATATTTTTAAGTTTTTCTTTCAAAAATGTACTTTTTTGGCTTGCCGCGGGCTATGCTTACAATAAATAGCAATATAGAAGAGAAAAGTAAATTCTTAACGGTTTTTTCGAAATATAGCGCAATCCCAAAAAGTTTGCATCATATGGGAAAAAAATTTGTATAAATTTAATAAATTCCTTCGATTGTCGAACCTCATAAAACGTATGTTATATACTGGGGGCAGACGAAAACTCCAAATCGGCCCTTTATTTTTAACCCTGGAGGAAAATGTTATAAAGAAAGTTATTTCCCTATAAAATATTAGCCCGAATATAAAGTTTCAGTTCATTTTGTTAAAAAAAAAAACGATTCCTGACATTTTTACAACTTTTCCCTCGTACCATAATTCGAGCGAAAATATCCATTAATAAAATCACGTTTTTTTAGTACAATAAAAACATCATAATTTTTGAAAACAAGTCGAATCAGGAACTAATAAGGCCGTTATATAAAATGGTGAAGAAAATAAGAACAAATTTAGTACAAACTTCAAGAATAATTCAAATGTTAATGTTAATTTAATGTTATTCAAAAAGTATCGTCTACAATAGTTCATCTAGAAGTAGGGTTTTCCGTAGTCAAAAAGTTAATTGTTAATGATACCAGTTTTCTTTTTATATTTCTTATTTGTTTTTACATTGCTTTTAAAAATTGTTTCCTCCTTCCTAGGAATCTGGGTTAATATTTTTTTGAACATTTTACTTAGTTTTTATATAATTCTTGAACATAAAATAAAATTTGCATCAAATTTGTTCTTATTTTTTACATCATTTTTTATAACGGCCTTATTTGTTCCTGATTCAACTTGTTTTAAGAAACTATGTTTTTCTTGTAGAAACACTAGAAAAACATGATTTTAGTAATGGATGTTTTTGCTCGAACTGTGGTACGAGGGAAAGTTGTAAAAATGTCAGGAACCGCTTTTTCAACATAATGAATTGAAGCTTTATTTATATTCGGGCTAATCTTTTAGAGGGAAATAACTTTTCTTTATAACATTTTCCCCTAGGGTTATAAATGAAGGTACTTTACTCTTGGCGATTTGCAATTTTCGTCTGTCCCTCGTATATAACACACGTTTTATGAGGTTCGATGGGTGCTATTTTGATTTGACGACATGCAAAGACAACTGACAATCGAAGTAATTTATTAAATTTATTCATAAAGTTTTTTCCCATATGGTGCACATTTTTTGGATAGCGCTGTATCTCGAAAAGTAACAAAGTTATCGATACTTACAGACAATCAGTCGATAGAGGTTTTTAAAATCTATCACTTTCTCATTTAAAATTTTTCGATCGGTGCTATATTTTTTTAGTTATTTTAGAAAAACCGTTTTTTGCAACTTTGCTATTTTTTAGCCATGTTCGCCATTTTCGAGCGAGTTTAAACAATAAACTCAATTTAAAATTTAATTTCCTATACGGTCATATTTCTTTTTCAGGTAATAATATCCGCAAATTTAACATTAGGTCGTCATAAAATATGGGACTATTTGTCTTACTGTGAGTTTTGATTTCTTGAAAATGAAAACATAGTTTTCTCAACGTTAATTAAATCATATACTGATATTTTTTATGTCTAATTTATTTGCCTTTTTCTATGCAAGAATGATTCCTTTGGTTCAGAGATTCAACAAAATAATTTTTTACAAGTGTCAAAATATAAAAATACCTAATTAATAAAGACAGTCAGTGATAATATTAAATACAGGCATAACTCTTTGGTTTTTGGTATAACGTTTCATTTTCTTAGTTTCTTAAACCGGCATACGTAATATTTAATTAGAACGATTAAATTTTGTCAACTTGTGTGTTGTTTAATATTTTCTCATACATTGTTTATGATGTAGACAGGTAAGAAGTTACTCGTAATGGATGAAAAACAAAATAAAGAAGGCTCATCTCACAAAATTCCTATGGTTTCATTACCTGTAAAACTTCTTATCATCACTCCTTTTGACCATCCCTGACGGCCTGGAAAATGTAATGGGAGGGTAGGATCCCTTAATACACTTAATTTTAACATTCTCTGCAAATATGGTGACAGTTCAAGAAATAGTTTTTTTATTTGGAATATTTCGAATTTTTGCAATTCTACCCCTTTTCACCATCCCTGACGGCCTGGAAAATGTAACGGGTGGGTGGAATTTTTTAATACACTAAATATTAACATTCTCTGCAAATACGGTGACAGTTCAAGAAACAGTTTTTTTTTATTTGAATTATTTCGAATTTTTGCAATTCCACCCCTTTTCACCATCCCTGACGGCCTGAAAAACAAAAATGGTGGGAGCAGTTTTTAAATTTCCACGTTTTTAATATTCTGTGATCAGCCGCATATGAATTGTTTAGAGAACTTGAGTAAATCTCGAATTTTTTTATGGCCACAACTTTATCGATTATAGTCCTACCTAAAAGTGTGGCTGTGGATGATTTCACACCGGTCATCAAATGGCAAAGGTGTGACATTGTAAATTTAAATATTTCAGGTTTTTCTTAAAGATGCCTTTCCTCTCATTATAAACTTACAGATCATGAATGAAAATATTAACCTTATGAATGAACTTCTCGGGAAAACTTACAAACCAATTTGTGTTACAAGTTAAAACTGCTACATAACTATGTAACCTAATTAACAATTTTTTTAAAGTTCTGATCTAGGTTATCACAATTTTGATTATCTTAAAAACAGAATTATCGATCTATATATTATCCTCTCCGCAAAATTAGACTATTTAGGTTAATTCCTGTTTGTTTGATCGACTAATTACATTCAAGGCACGATTCTGCAAATTAATGATCTGTCTGATTATAGGCAAAACAGGTGTTGCTATTATTTACAGCATCACATTAATTGAGAGTGAGTGATGAAATAGCTATTATTATTTATTTTAATTTACAAACACCACAGATTTGACAGTTATACACATATACACACACACCACTTAAAAAAATATTAATACACCCTATATAAACCTTTGCGGTATACAAATTTATAAGAATTCATTTTCTTTAATCCTAAAAATTTTAATGCTGTTTTTCAATTTATCTGGGGAATAAACTTGATGTGTCATTTTTCATTTTGTAGATATGCTTGTAACCACAAATGTACAGGAGATTTGAATATGTTTTATTACCTATTGTTGATATTAAATTGCATAATCGGTATTAAACATATTTTATTTACTAAATTTCATTGTCATGAAGATTATATAGACAAGAAAAACATAATTTATGTTACTTGTGACAAATTTTTATATTCCTAATTAAAGGTGGTCAAATCAAGTTGTATTATTTAAAAGAAATAAATTTATCCTTTTCATCATCGATAAATTTGTTGCACATCATTTCTTGTGCAAAACTGTGATTACCACAACATCCGTGAAATAGTTTTTATTAATTTTACTTTTACGAGTGCGGCAGAACAATAATATTATGCATTTGTTTACGTACTACTGAAATGCTACTACTTTGTAATATTGTTAAAAGACAATGTCAGTATGAAACAATTCAAGAAATATTTAAAAAAGTACCCAACAATTTTGTGGAAAGTATTTACTGATTTATTTACTTTATTTAACTGTGACAAAAATATTTATAGATCAAAGTGCATTCAAGTAACTATACAGTGTTACATAAAATTTCTTCACTTCAGTTAAACTTCCTAATTTTTTTGTTAGTATAAAATTTTGTTGTGCAAGTTTTCGAGATACAAAGGAAGTGATGTATAAATTCATGAAATAACAAAGAAATACCTGTAGTATTAATGAAATATAAAAGGTAATTACAAACATTTTATTTAGTTTATTAATATTTCATGGGTGGTTCCAATGGTTTGTCATAATATTTAACAAATAATAAAACTGTACCTACTGGTTATTATACTTAATGAATAAGCAGTATCGATACATTTTACTTTCGATTGAATTCGAGTAAAAAATTACCATA